ACATGATTAGAAACCCTGAAGTTTTACTCTGTGTTCAACATCACGTTTGTGCTGCTCACACCTGACTTGGAAATCCTGAGCAGCTCCTCTCTGCCGAACTCCTCGAGGCGCTCCTTAATCTCGGCCACGGCTTTCCTGACAGCCGCGAAGGAGAAGTCGGGGTTCACGCTCACTCTGGGTATGAAGCCGTCATCAGTGGGGGTGCAGAGGTAGTTGAAGTTCTAGTGCAAACATGACAGCCAATGAGAAATGTGAGGCAGTGTCACATGGACGGTGACACGTGAGTGCCTGGGTTCTCAATACTGTGAGTGTTATATTATGGAAATGTATTGATCTTTAAAAAGGGCTCAATATTTCTCCACGGTGTCATCGTTAATCACTTATTAATAAGTATCCTATTACCTGATACGACAGCTAACCTCACTGTCAGCTGTTGACAGCTTCTGCTGCGTGTTACCTGCAGGAAGTGGATGTGGTCCTCAGTGCTGTACAGCTGCTTGAGGCCAGACTCTTTTTTCTTCAGCTCATCGATCTCTTGTTCCAGACGCTCGATCAAAGCCTCGGATTGGCTGAAAGCAGCCTTCTCATTGATCCCAATCAGCTTGCTCACCTCTGACCTCATCCTCTCAATGGAGCGTATCATATCCTCAAACATCTTCTGGCTCTCCACCATGGCTCTGTGCGCTGAGTTCTGGGCAAAGCAAGCAGGAAGTCATCGCTTTACAGCCTGATCGTCATCAGCTGAACTAAAGACGGATCTTTGAGTAGAAACGGTTGTTGAGGCCTTACCTTGAGGGAATCCACCGCAGTCTTGAGCTCCTCCAGCTCCTTCACCCTCTCCTGGCATTTTTGTTTAATCTCAGCTTGGGAGACTCCCAAAAGTTTCTGCAGAATTAAGGAGTATTACAGAGATATGCGTTTTAATAATGTCCCAACCCTTTGTGCTCATGCTGGCAGCTAAACTGGCTTTAAGATTCCTATCATGTTTAATGCAGCTGGATGTTGTGTTTTTATAAAAGTTATCCCAAATGTAAAGCTGCAAACATTCTTTCTCATCACGCAGTATCTGGCGTGGCCCTGTGGCGTCCTTAATAAGCCGCTCTCAAAGATCTTCTTAATACATCCCGCTTTTATCTCAGAGGGAGAGGGGGGAAAATCTTTGGAGGAATTCTGGCCATGTCAGGAATGTGAATCTACCAGCGTCTGACTTTTAAAGAGACGTTTCAAGGTGCACGCAGCGCTGACATGCAGAATAGAAAGCTTCTAATTCAGCTTTTACTCGAGCCCACCGACCCATTCTTCAAGATAAGCTTGAGGAATGTGGGGAATCTGGGGAGGGGGGATCAACAGAGAGGGGGAGGGGAGACAGAGCGGGAGATGGAGTGAGACGTGTTGGACTCAGGTTGTAAATCTTTAGATGAGAGAAACCAGACTCCCCGCACAGAGCTCCTTCAGCCTGCATTAGCTGTAAAAACACTCCTGATTACTCACACAGCTGCTACATTCATGTCTAACCCACAGTGTTACAGGCAAAGTGAGTCATTTGAATGCACATTGCTCACAGAGATTGAATGTAGGTGTAGAGCCTGCACTCCCTGACATTCCTGCAGCGCTGCACTCCCACAGGTGGGAACCAGCGCAGCAGAAAGAAGGCTGCGCTTTCTGTGTGTTTATCCCACAGCTGGGATAAAGCCGCTTTCACCGCCTGTAAGACACGCCTCCGGCCGGTGTCCAGCTAATCACAGGGCTGGATTTGTTTTGGCGGCTGTGAACGCTCGCCGGGGTTGCTGATAGCCTCGGTGAAATGGGTCAAAGTACAATCACCAGTTCAGGGGAAGGAATTGAGAAAAACAGCCTGTTTGCTTTAGCTCAAGTTATTCCAGAGAGGATGTGCTCCTCACCTATCAAAGACAACATTCAGCTCTCTCTCAGGCGACGGCATCAGCAGACACTGTTGTTCTTACCTGCTTCTCGCCCCTCTCTGCCTCAGCAGACACGATGTCGTGGCCCCGGTGCTCGCTGACTGTGCAGATGGCACAGATACACATTTGATCTGTGCGACAGAAGAGCTCCAGGGACTTCTGGTGCTGCGGGCAGATCTTCCTGTCCAAGTTCCCTAACTCGTCCACGAGCTTGTGCCTCTTGAACGTGGCTGATTCATAGTGTGGCTTCAAGTGCTTTTCGCAGTAGGACGCCAGGCAGTTGAGGCAGGACTTGACAGCCTTTAATTTCTTCCCGATGCAGAAGTCACAGGGCACGTCGTTTGATCCGGCAAAGACGCTCCCCTGGGACGTGCTGAGGTTGAGGTTCAGACCGCTCTTCTTGATCTTCTCTGCCACCATGCTCAGAGTGGCGTTGGGCCTCAGTACAGGCCTCTGGGTGAATGTGATCTTACACTGGGGACAAATGTAAATCCCCGTGTAGTCGGCTTCGTTCCAGTAGCCACTGATGCAGTCCATGCAGAAGCTGTGGCCGCAGGGGATCGCCACAGGGTCCCTCAGCAGGCTCTGACACAGAGAGCAGCTGAAGTAGTCTGGAGAGGTGTGATCAGCCATTGTGGTGGGCAGCCCTGGAGAAACAGTCAGGGAGAATGCCAGGAGGAGATAGGGATTTCGTCGAGTGTGCCTGTAAGCCCGCCCTCGAGAGTGTGGTACAGCCTCAGAGACAGGACCTACTTGTATTTCTAAATTCCAAAAGGTTATTGATTGAAAGCAGGCAAGGCCCCGCCCCCGTCCTGTGAGTACATCGGCCCTGCCCAGTTCAGATAAGCAGGTTGAACGAGCAGGGAGAGGAAGAAAGAGCAAAGCAGAGAAGGTGCAGAGAGAATGAATGAAATGTAAAACACCAAAGTCGTGACAATAAATGTGCAAGAAAACGTTTCCATTTCCCTGCAGCTTCCTCTTCTCTCACTCGCATTTCTCATGTGGCTCATCTGCGGCTGAGCTGCGCACACACTTCTTGGCAGCTGCATTTCCACCTATTGTTGTCCCACAGAATCGCCATTGTCTTAAACCGGTTATAGTCCGACAAACATACATGCAGCCGAAGGTACTGAAGGAATTTCAGGGACCACCCAATAAACAAACACGGGGTTTGAGAACGACCTCAAACGTCTCTGCTCACATCTTTCGTCAGAGAAACTCGTTTAAAAGTTGTGATATTTGTTCTGTGACTGGCCCGACTCGTCTGTTCACTCGTACGTTTATCTGCAGACATGCGGCTGGTTTCTGTTGTTCAGTGCTAAGAAAACATTCATGTGTCAAACATAAACGCAAACAGACGCATTCCTGTCGTGTCCAGGTGTTGTTGCGGGAGATGTCTCGCATAGTTGTGTACATATTTCACTCGAGTTACGTGGCGATGCAAAATGCCCCCTCATAGTTCCTGCACAAAGCAGGGGAAGAACTCCTGAGGTGAGCCGACTCTCTCCACAGCGTGAAGTGTCTGCTGACATCACCGGCCTCTCGTTAGCATTTCAATTAGGCCTAATCTACTGACACTAGTGTCCAATTCACAGGCAGGTTTCCTGCTTGAAATTACACTGAAAGTACACATGTTAAAAAAAGAAATACAAACACTCTGAACACTGTTTGAAATTAGCTTCAAATAAATTGTGCAACGTATGTTTGCTGATCTGCAATCACATGGCAAAGTAATCTTAAGCTTCTAAAAGGTACATTTGCTCCACCTTCAATTCATAGCTTGCATTACTTCATACACTCGGTAGTTTCACCTCCGTATTTGGTCAGGTTTCTGATAAGCCAGTTTTCCTTCCTTCCTCCAGAGTAAAGGGAGCATTGTGCTTACAGATTAACCACCTGCTTTTGGACAGCACGACTGCCAAAGGGAACAAATCTTTGAATCAAAGTTTTAACTGAGCGTGCTCGCTAGAAGAGTGAAAGCTTAACAGCACAAGTTTGGTCAAATGTATCCCGTGCTCCGAGGAATCTGAAGCATAACAGTGTTTCCAGTCAGTTTTATTAAGATTGGAGCAGACGCCCACTTTAAAGAGTGGCAGGCTTGTTATCAGGCTGTTTTCTCCAACAAAGCAGACCGAAACTCCACAGTCATCCACAGTCATATATAGTCCAAGCTCAAGGGGAAAGGTCACCCTTTATTAAAGTGCAGAGAGCGTGGTTTCTTCAAGGTGAGCGCAGGAGAGCGCTCGCTGTTTGATCAAAGGAAACGAGTGAAATGAGAGCTTAAAAGGAAGAAAGATTTAAAGAAAAGTGAAAATGCAGGAATCGCTCATCAGTGCATACACAAGATTTCAGTGAAAAAGACTGTTGCAAGATTCAGAAGAAATGTTGCTCGACAGGATGCATAACTCAGATAGTGATGATCCAAAACGTAGAACAGCGCTCAAAGTGTCTAACAGCTCAGAACTGCATTCCCATGGTTTTTCATGTGTTGTGGTAATGATAAGGAAAAGACAATGTGCACATCCTTTGTTATTCTTATGATATAAATTTTTGGTTTGCTTGACAGTGAGTCCTGAAAAAAAGAAGGGAACGGTATCAAATCCTTACACATGCACACTAACGATCATTGTTAGGCGCTATTTTAGGTCATGATGCAGCTGAACTGTTTATAAGGTCGGGGAAACCTGCAGCCAGCAGCGAGCCACGACAAGAACATCAGCAGAACGTAACACTGGAGTCGGGGGATAAGGAGAGAGATGGTCTGTGGCCACCAGCAGCAAAGCCTCGTTGTTGTTGCCTCTTCAGTGAACCTGCCAAAGGACGTGCAACAGATTCACAATGGTTTATGCTCCCTGACCGGGCACACTGACATCCTCACAGCTGAACTTTGTGTTATGATGCTCGAGAGCCCTCTTTTTGAGCAGCGCAGAAAAAACTGAATCACAAAGTCAGAGAACTTTAAAAGAAGCTAAGATCTCAGCGCTCTCTGTTTCTACAGCCCTGTAGGGAGAGGTCGAGTCACATGGAAGGAATAAACTCTGACAGATGCTTATTTGACCTTTTTGCTCCGATCGTTGTGTTTGCTGGAACTGGATAACAGGCGTATGAAAAAACTAAACTATGCACAGATGACAAAGTGAAATATCG